TAATTCAAGTTGCCACAGCTTTGAGATAAAGCTGCCAGAGCAGCTGGCTTTGGACTGTCAAAATCAGTCTCTACCTCTCCGTCCTGACCTATATGTATGGATTGGTTTAGTCCTCTTTGAATTTTTGACCTTTTAGGCTTTTTTTTTTTGCCTAAGGCAGAGCGTATAACACACCCTCGCGGTGTACGACCCACCTCCGGCTGTCGTACCATCCCATGAACCTCGGCTTTACCCTTGTAAAGCTCCAGAGCTACCTCTGCTGCTGGTGGGGGGATGCAAAGTGGCTGCTCCATCCCCATGCAGACAGGTGAGACGTAATGAACCAGGTGAGACTTAACAAACCATCATCCATTCAAGCAACGAGTGATGATTGAGGCTTGTTTAAATATGTGCTCGCATATATTATATGCGAGCACATATTTAATTGATTGAGGCTCGTTTAAATATATGCTCGCATAATATATGCTCGTTTAAAATGCTCGCACCGATTAAAATCGGTGTGGCATTGCCTGGGTGGTCCCTGAGCGCCAGGAGGGACCTTGGCATCCCTCTGACCCTATCCCATGGGCAAGGAGCTGGTGGTGTCTGAGCCAGGAGCTGGGCTCCAGCTCTCTCGGGACTTCTTTCGGTGGCTGCCAGAAATGTGCTGGTGACTGCCTCAAGCTGGCAGTGAAACCCTTGGGGTTTTGTTTAAAGCTTCAATGGCTACAAATATCTACTTTACCCTATTTCTTTGCCTTAATGAGGTCTCCCACTTCTTGGCCATCAGGAAGATTGCTCATTAGCCATGCATTTCTGGGATTTGGCCATACTTGGGATGGACAGTCAAACATTACAGGAGTGCTTTCTTGTGTCATTACTCTGTGTACCAGATTATTTTTGTCCAGGAGTTACAAATGACTCTATCATGCGTTAATACTTGAGAATTTGAAGCACTTGAAAGTACTTTAGAAACCAAAGGGAGGAACTATTTAATCCTACAATGAAATGCAGATACTGCTGGGATGGGACAGAACCCCCTCTCCCCAGGAGAAGCAAGAAGCGCCATCAAATCTGGATAAGGCTGCTCGGAGGGATTGGCTGGGCAATGAGAAGTGCCACGTCCTTGCATGGCTGGACTGTGGCTTTCTGCCTCGCTCCAGGCACCATTGCTGGGATCAGGTTTTGGGGAGCTTGGGAAAAAAGTGGCTGTGGGGTGGCCGAGGGGGATTAGAGATGGATGCAAAGGTCTGGTGGGGAGAGCCCCTGGCAGGAGCTGGCTTTTCCCGTGGGGAAGCGTGAGACATCCAGGGGTGATGCCGAGCCTGGGGACATGCCAAGGTTTTAGCTCGAGGTTTAGCTCCCCACAGCCGACGTGTGACTGGAGCATTTCCACAGCGGCAGCATTTGCGGGATGGCCCCGGGGTGGGACAAGGCGGTGCAGAGGGAGGGCGGACGCAGCACGAGCTGGGGTCAACGTGACGGCTAAACCTACTCGGCAGCCCCATCCGACCAGAGCTCCTTCCCGCCGGCTGCACGTGATGCCAGCAGCATTCCAGGGGCAGGAGCAGAGGGAGCAAGGGTGTGTGTGCACGTGGGTGTGCCTGCGGCTGTGCACTCGTGCACAGTGGTTCGAGCTGTGCGGGCGGGGGCCCCAGCCGGTGCGGAGGTGGGCTGAGGTTTGGAGGTGCTCGGGTTTTTGAGAGATGGTCCTAGGAAAGGCAGCACTGGGCAGGCCTGCGCCTCCCCACACTCCAGCTCAGCGTGTTCAAAGGTCCAAGCCTGTGGGCAGGAGGTTGCTGGGCTGGGATCTAGTACCCTGTTTGCAAACGACTTCAGCAGGCTGAAGGCGCTTGTGTCCCCTTGGACAAAAAATGCGGGAACCATGTCTGCAAATCACCAGTGGCCTTTTTGTATTGCCAAGTGTGAAGGGATGGTGGGGAGCAGCAAACCCCTTTTTCTTCTGCAACTCCCCCTTTTTGGGACACCAGCAATCCCGCCAGTGGTTCAACATCGCCCTTGGCCCTCCTTGCGTCCCAGGGGAAAGGACAGCCCTGCTCCAGCAGCACGGGTGAACCAAGTGAGGAACAGATGGAGACAGAAATAACCAAACGGGAAGAGGAAAAACCTCAGTGGGACTGGTTGGTCCCACCAGTGCTGTTATCTGATGGGAGATATTTTGAGTACTGACTGTCACACCAGCTCGTCCCAGTGTGGAGCGGCAGGCTGTGTGCCCACGCGTGATTTCCATTGGTGTGGAGCGAAGGGTTGTGGTTTTTGCCCTGGGGTTGGTGGTCATGGACCTTCTGGGATTTGGGGTTGACTCTGCAGGATACAGTGTCAGGTATTTGGGTGGCTTGGCTGTCTGTGACAGTAGTCAGTGGCTTTGGATTCTTTAGTGGGATGTAGATGTTTTAAAGGAAGTATGCATGTTATTTTGGGGAGTTTTGCCATTTGTAAGATGCCACTGTTGAATTTGATGGTGGTGTCTGGATAGCTGTTGTTGATGTGGGATTTCCCCAGGCGTACGCTGATGCCAGCTTGCTGTCCATCTGCGCCTCTTAGGAAAGCAGGAGCTCTGGGATGCCATGCTGAGAAGATGGTGGTACACAGAGTTTGGGGATGCTCACCCTCAGTGAGAACCTGCCTGGGAATGGCTTCACCTGGGCTGGGAAACCCCAGATTCCTGGGACAGAGTCAGGGGAAGGATTCCTCCAATTCCCCAGGGGTTTCCAGGTGGCAGGGATGAAGCGTGGCTGGAAGTGGGAGCCTGGCAGTGGGCAGGAGGCTGGGGCCATGCCGTGGCTCTCTAGGCAAGGTGGGATGGTAGGAGGGGCGTCACGCCTGCAAGGGTGGGCACAGGGCATGGAATGCTGTAAAATATTTTTTAGTAGTAGTAGTAGTATTAGCATTGTAGGATGGGGTGTAATTAATGACTCACTAGGTGCTGAAATACTTCATTAAATAACCTGTTCTGGGAAAGGCGTCACTGGCCCTGCTCCCCACTGCAGGGCTGGCCGGGCTGCCCGGCTGCCCCAGGGTGCCACGTCCAGGAGCCAACCTGCCCCGGTCCCCCCAACCCCTCTAAACTCCCCCCAGCACTCCCAAGTCCCCAGGCCCCCCTGGCTCCAGCAGAGCTGGCAGCTTCTTGCTGTGGCTCTGTGTGCGTGACTACATGTGCGTGTAGGTGTATGTGTGCAGGTTTGTGTGTATGTGCATGCATGGATGTGTACGTGTGTATTTGTGTGTGTACGTGTGCATATGTATGTGTAGGGGTGTGTAGTGGGTGTGTGTGCATGTGTGTGTGCATGTGTCTGTATATATGTATGTATTCCTATATATGTGTGTATGTATATGTGTGTATGTGTGTATCCACGTGTGTGTGTGTTTATATGTGCATGTGTGGACATGCATGTGTGTGCATGTGTGTCTAGAGGTATATGTGCATGGTGGGGTGTATACATATGTGTGTGTGTGCAGTTGTATATGTATATATGTCTTTGTGTGTGCATATATGCATGTATGCACATGTATCTGAGTGTGTGTGTGTACATGTGTGGACGTGCCCTGTCCTGGAGGCTATGGGGTGAGCGCTTTTGCCTAGAAGCCGGGGGATGCAGTGTGCTGGGGGGTGGCAGGAGGCTGGAGAGGCTCCAGGCGCTGCCCTGTTATCCAGCCCCCATGAGGCCAGACCCTGAGCCCCCTTCTGCCACCCCAGCCGGGCGCTACCCCCGTCCCACGCTGCCCTGTTATCCAGCCCCCACGAGGCCAGACCCTGAGCCCCCTTCTGCCACCCCAGCCGGGCGCTACACCCCGTCCCAGGGACGGCAGGAGCTAAGGGGGGATGCTGAGGGGTTTGCACATAGGGGTGCCCCAGCGACCTGCCCTGGACCTGCCGTTTATTCCCCGAGTGACTGAGCCCCTCCTCCCCTGTTGGTCTCAAGCAGCGCAGGGACGTGACCTTGGGGCCAGGGATGACCAAACTGGTTTTCCCAGCCTTCCTAAAAATCCTGCACAAGGCTGTAATTACCGTCCCCTTAAATCAGAGGGGAGCCCGACACCGCAGGTATGCCCACAGCACCCGGAGGTGTCAGGCAGTGAATCACTTCTCGGGGAGCAGCACAGCACAGCGGGGATGGGGCGCGACGAACTGGGAATGTGGGAGAGGAACAGAGCTGGAGCATGGGGGTCCTGGTCCTGTCGGGGGCAGGAGGGAAGGGGGAGGAACGGGAGCTCCTCCGGCCAAGGAGCTGTTTCTTTTGGGAACATGGAGGATAAATTCCTCCCGAGTTAGGGGCTGATGCTGTAATGCATACTCAGTGGAGTCACTGGGGCTGCACACAAGAATTACTTGCAAAACTGGACAGAAGTTAAACATCTACGCTAGCTGGAAGTCAATATTGGAGGTGACCTTGTGATGCAAGGGAGTGCAGGGGAGTGGGTGCACAGGCGTGGATGGATGAAGTGGGTTCGTCTCCCCAGCTCAAGGGGCAGGGGTAAGCCTGTGGGACCCGACCCAAGCTGCTGACAAGGAGGAAGAAGCAATTTGCAGGTTACACTGGGCAAAAATCCTCTCCTGGGATGCTCTGGAGAGGGTTGGAGATGTTGCTGCTCATGGCTGAGATTGAGAGAGGCCATGATGCAGCAACTGTGCAGGAGCTGCAATGAGCAGTAACAAGGACCAGAAGCCTCATCTCATACCTACAGCCGTCACCCGCATCCCCGCCGCAAGTGTTTGAGTGCAGGAGGTGGTCCCCGAATACAACAACAGGTCAGCTCGGCTCTCAGGAGACTTTCCTTGGAAAGCAGGAGCCAAACACCCCCCTGCAGGAGTCCCAGTCCCCTGGTTGACAGAAGGCTGCGACCCCGCTCTCAGCAGGTTTTCTTGCATGCAAGTTGTTAAATACTGGGGACGTGAGGCTTGCGGGGACTCTTGGCAATGACGCTGGTGACCGTGCCCAGCTAGGCAGCAGGTCAGGCGACACACGGGGTGATGCCAGCCTTTTTTGGGAACAGAAACGATGCCTGGCCCCAAGCAGGAGCTTGGCACCGGGATTTCCCAGGCAGAGATGCCGTGCAGTGGCAGCGTGCGGAAACGAGCTCTGCCGGGTGAAAGCTGGGCAGCCGCGGGCACCAGCGGACAGGGCATTACTCTGCTTCCCCTAGCAAAGGTAAGGGTGAGAGCCTGCCCTGCTCCGTCGCAAGCCAGATGCAGCAAAGACCTGCAGGGCAGACAGAAAATCAGCTGCAAACATCCTCTGAACACCCAGCTTGTTTTTTTTTCCCCTCCAATACCCAACCTGCTTATTTTTCCCTAAACCTGCTTGTTTTTCCCCAAACCTGCTTGTGTTTCCTGTGAGCACAGCCCACGAGCAGAGTGGGCTGATTTGGCTTAGGCATCCTGCGTTGGGGACAGAGCTCAGCCCAATTCACTGAGGAGTTCTCTGAATGCCTACATTTACCTTTGGGATGGATATGTGATCTTCTACCCTCTGTCTTAACATGCCTACATACTTGGTCTTGAAGAGATCCTGCCTATAGCATTCCCACAGCGCAGGAAAAAAACCTGAACTGAGGGTGGCTGGGGTTCAGGGAGAAGAATTTGGAGCTGGCATGGAGATGACACACTCCAGGCTGAGTTTGCTATCCCAGAGCAGAGTCCTTCTAAAAAAGGACGGTCCCACTGGAGTCACAACATCCCTGTGTCATGGCAGGGTGCGGAGAAGTGAATGAAACTGTCTACAGTTATGCAAAAGCCAGTCAAAGAGCTGGAAAGAGTATTAAAATTATCTGAGTCCCCAATCTGTGACCTCCTGTTCAGGGACACACATGGGGTGGGCTTTTAAATAGCCTGACAACCCAAATCCGGTCAGACCTGGGGTTTGGAGTTGTTTCTGTAGAGGCATATATATGTAAAGGCATATATAAAAGGGATACTTCTCCCGCTCTGGTAATCTGCACGTGGGCTGCCACTGGCCCAGCCCCGCTCCCGGTGCCTGTTCCAGCCCCCGTGGGAGCTGGCCAAGCCAGGTCAGGCTGCCGCGGCTTTGCCTTGTGCTCTCCGCAGGTCACGTAGGGGATGTCCACCCCGATTAATCATGAAGCACCAGAGCCCGGCTCCGCGGCGTACAGGCAGCTCTGCGCTCGCCCTACCCAGGATCAACCGGGCTGTGCTGCCTGCAGCCTGGCTGCTTTGGAAAATAAAGCTGTTTTCTGGGTGCAGGAAAACGGTTCTCTGCCTTCACCGTGTCTTGAAAACGTCGAGTAACTCGGGGTTGCTTGAAAACCCTCACGCCAGAAGGCACACGCAGCTCCACCACTGAGCCACCCGAGGCTCAAAACCGGAGAGGGACGGTTTTCCAGACCCGGTTCGGCTTTTTGCCAGAATCGTGTATTGTGCAAACTGCAGCTTATTTTACAACATGTGTATTTACAGCTGGCGGCTCGTGACTTCGGCAGCAGCTGCTCAGAGCCCAGCTGATGCCCTGGTTACCCACCTAACCCCAAGCAGCCCCAGATTTTCCCTGCGTGTAGAGTACGAAGTTGCACCACACTGAAAACCGGAGTCTGGTATGTTTTATTAGAGCCCGGTGTACTTCATCTCCCCCTCCCCAACTATTTTACGGTCCCTTTTGAGCACAATGTGAAAAACGTGGCGCTGCTTCC